AAAATCGCGCGAATATGAACGTGGTTTTGCGCAGCTCGTCAGTGTCCCCAACCAGACACGACGCAATAAAAAGTATCTTTTCCATGTAGATTTTGTCCTAACCACCCGCAACAGCGACATGTGACAATAAGCGACATGGGATTCTATTTTAGGAACGGTATGCTTTCAGATGGAGCAGCATTTACTTCACAGAGCCGTAGTTCACTGAGAAGCTATGCAAACAGCTGTCATTATCATGAACGATTTCTTTGATTTCAGAATCGCGCAAGTAACTTGTCAGTGAACTACGGCTAGGTGTAGTAAATTCTGCTCCATCTGAAAGCACGTGATGATGATTTACTGCTGATTACAGAACCGGCTTTTTTAACAAAATGCACATGAAAATCGCATTCGATTAATCGTGCAGCCCTACTCTGTAGTGAATGGGTGCTGTCAAAATGAGAGTCCAAACAGCTGGTAAAAATATCACAATACAGATCTTGAAAATAAATTAAAGCAAACTTGTACGTTAAAACTATGAACTCACTGCGAACCAACATGTGTATTCCATAACAAAGATATCAGTCACTCACTCACTCAAAACTGGTCCATTCACATTTTAATCATCTATTTTCCATGTCCACTTTTCTTTTCTACACACTCGCCATGGTTTTGCGGTCACATCATATCTTCACTGGACACGACAAAGCATTGCAAATCATTTGAAACCAAGGGAAACACCTGGGACAAATGAACTAAACTAATCAGGACAGGAACAGGAAACTAACCAAATAAGGGCATGGGAAGGCACATGGGGAGCAGGACACACACAAAACATGGAACAGAGTCTGACACACTGATTATAACGAGTTCTAGGCTATTGTATTTTATTGCGTCGCGCCGTGCCACTCGCATCCGATGTAGACACGATGTAAGTTAATGTAGCTTTCTGATGCTGCGTCTGAATTTTCATGTCACATTATTTGAAATTAGCGCGGGCCAAACTTTTTTCTCTCACGGGCCCGCGAGCCGTCTATTGAGGAACACTGATTTAAACCCTGCTAGCCTTCTATTGTTATGCAGCATTCAAGCTAAAGCATTTTGAAGCAACAAAACAACTGGAAATCATTATTTTATGCAATGTGAGGTGACATGAACAACATTGACAAATCTGTCTATCACTAGCAAAGCCCACCAACTAGCTGACATGTTACCAACATGCTAACTACAAGATAAAACATGCTAATAACGCCTGCTTAATACTGTATGCTAAAACATGCTAGAAACATGTTAGCAATGTATTAAAATATGCTAGCTCTGTGGTAAAAATGCTAGCAACACATAGCAAAATGCTAAAATATTCCAGAAACATGTTAAACATGATAACAACATGATACATCATGCTACAACATTAGCAACATGATACAACATTAGCTTCATGCTAGAAACATGTTAGCAATGTGATAAAAACCTTCTAGAAACATGCTAAACATGTTAGCAACATGATAAAACATGCTAGAAACCTGCTAAAAGATCTTTCTCTCTATCTTTCTATCCATCCATGTTGTATCCATTTATACACTGTATCAAGATTGCAAACCTTCAAGATTTAAAAAATGCTTCAAACGTTCTGACCAGGCTTTTGTATAAGCAACAATAAAGTTTTTTCAACTTTTTTTTATTTTTTTTTTTATTTTTTTAGTGATACATGACAGCATTTCACAGAAATTACATTGAAAATAAACCAGAATATTCCCACTTAAACTGAACTTTAAGAGCACAAAGAGGAGTAAAAATCTCCTGTTAAAGTGTTTATGAGTTTGGCAGTATTCACAGGAGACGCGTCTTCATTAAAATGGGAAATGCAGTGTGTTTGTGTCAAGACAAACACTACCAAATGGCAAGAGACTGACACATAAACAAAAGACCTGCTTGACAACCCAACCCCGAGGGGCTTGAAGGGGCGGGGCCCGCCTGTCTGCCACCATGGTTGTTACCGTGACGACCAATGATAACCAGCAAAGGAACAGTCCAATTGTAACTCAACTTGGTTACAATGCCGTGTTCCTTTCCCCTTGAAAACACACACATTGTGTGTCACATCAAAGTGACACTGTCTGTCATTCAATACTCAAAGAAGCAAAGCAAAGCATCGTAAAATGAATGTTTTATTTATTTCAACTCATCTTTCATCTTTTCATCTTTCTACTAAAAACAAAGATTTAGTTAGATCATCTAACTGGTTTATGTCTATGCATGTGAGCCTGATCACACATTGATAGTGCTCGATAAAGGGGCTGGTCATAAGACAGCAAAGGAAAACTGTGCCATTTAACTGCTGAACAGAAAAATGGGTTGAATGTGGGTCAACAGGCTCTCATATCCGCTTTGCCTACAGCACATTCGCACGGGACCAAAATGACCTGGCTAACCAGAGCCAATCACTCCATTATTCACTGCTGCTGCTGCAGGTCACACTCATCTTGTGCTGATGTGAACTCACAACTCCAATGTTACTGCCATCATGCTTGTTTTCATGTTTTATATAGTTATGGTCCATATTTAGGTACTTCCATATATACCTATATAACATTTAAAAGATACTGGGAATTAAACCCATAGCCTTGCTGTTGCTAGAGCCACACTTTACCTTTTAAGCTAAAGAAACATGTAGGTAAATTCTAGAGCCCGACCGATATGGGTTTTTGAGGGCAGATGCCGTCATATCGGCCGATATTCTTTATGTGTATATTATAGTACAGTTCTTTCCCATTCGTAGGGCTGGACAATAATTCAATATCAATATGTATCGCGATATAATTTTTTTCAATAACGGTGATATGATTTTTAAACACATTTCCGATAT